TACTTAGCAGACCTAGGAAAGGAAAGAGTGAACCGAAAGGCGAAAAGTCCGAGTACTTGAAGGTGTTTTAACAAAGGTTAACGCGTGACTGCAGAAAACTATTTACTGATTACTTAGCAGACTGAATTCACGCCGTGCGAGGAAACCTGTTTTGGGGGATATCATGCGAAGAACCAACATGGAAACAAACCAACAGCGGCAAGGGGAACCAGTGGAGTCATTGCGTTTGATGCAGGTACACAGTGGAGCGTCCTCCACTGCTTCAGCACCAACCGATACCCTCTTCGTTGGACGGGTAGTATCGGTGGTGACCCGTCCCCCTGCCTTGTTAAGTGGTGGTAATGGAAACAGTGGCATTGTGGTACAGGGGGTGACACACACACAGAGCCGTATTCGGCGCGGTCTCCCCTAGCAAAGTAGTAGTGAGGCCAGGGGCCTCCAGTAGCGTCCTGACTCCCCGGGGAACATTTGTACAGAAAGCGCCAATTGTTGGCGCAGCGAAAAAACTATTAGTCACCTAAAAAGCCTTAGAAAGACAGACAAAGCAAAACAAACCACAAGCAGACTAAGAGGGCAAGAAAGAAAGATAGGGGTAGTTACGAGGCCCACTTAGTTAAACGAAAGTAGTTTGCGAGCGGGGCATTCGTCTTAAACCGCCCGGGTAGCTAGCAATAGACTAGGAGAAACAGAAGGAAAGGCACCAACACACAAGTGTGTTGAGTGCGATTTCCTTCTGTTGCTCAGTAGCGGGTGGGATAGCAGAGGAGGCCCAGGGGCAGGGAGGGGGTGCACGATTAATTCGTCCGGCCGCCGGCCTGTGAATACTTAGCAGAGTGACATGGACTGGTGAATACTTAGCGGCATGTTGCAGACTGATTCAGTCTGTCAAAAAGGAATTCCATCGTTTATAGCCCGGCGGCTCGAAACTCCGTTAATTCAGTTATGGAAGTGAGAAACAAAGAATCAGTTATAAGAAAGAAAAACCGATGCTTTCCGGAATGATAACGGCGCCTCCTTTCGGAGGGTCACGCCCAGCGCCCGAGTGGGAAGACTGAGCGGCTCACACTCTGACATTGGTTTTCAGTTAACTCAATTTCCAGGAAAAATGGTGATGGAACCGAAAGGTGAAAGGAAGAGTCGGCAGAACAGTATTGTTTAACAGAAGGTTTCGCGTGACTGCAGAACACTAGTTACTGAGTACTCAGCAGACCTAGGAAAGGAAAGAGTGAACCGAAAGGCGAAGAGTCCGAGTACTTGAAGGTGTTTTAACAAAAGTTGACGGGTGACTGCAGAAAACTAGTTACTGAGTACTTAGCAGACCTAGGAAAGGAAAGAGTGAACCGAAAGGCGAAAAGTCCGAGTACTTGAAGGTGTTTTAACAAAGGTTAACGCGTGACTGCAGAAAACTATTTACTGATTACTTAGCAGACTGAATTCACGCCGTGCGAGGAAACCTGTTTTGGGGGATATCATGCGAAGAACCAACATGGAAACAAACCAACAGCGGCAAGGGGAACCAGTGGAGTCATTGCGTTTGATGCAGGTACACAGTGGAGCGTCCTCCACTGCTTCAGCACCAACCGATACCCTCTTCGTTGGACGGGTAGTATCGGTGGTGACCCGTCCCCCTGCCTTGTTAAGTGGTGGTAATGGAAACAGTGGCATTGAACCCTTTGGTACAGGGGGTGACACACACACACACGAGAGAGGTTTTGTTCTCCGATCAAAGCTCCCCAACCAGGAAACCTTCGTCTCCAGTCTTTTTCAGAAGACCCAAAAAGTGTGTTAAGGCTTCTCCTTCTATCGAGATCCAAAAAATCCATCAAACTTAACAGATGAATTTCCCAATCTCCCGTTTCAAACTTGCACTTACATAATATTGACGAGATATGTGTGAGGCCTCTAGTGCACATAATGCCCTTGAAACAGTGCAAGCGCAAATATATAGTTGACAAAACAAATCCAATCTAAATCATTTCCTGCTGAACAACCTCCTCGATCTGTTAACTTGTAAGCCAATGGTGTTATCAATGATTCTTTCGATGTGGTGTTCGGGTGTGCTTCATTTTTGGCATTGGTGGCTTGTCGCTGACCTGAGGTCACAAATGATGGGGCCGAACGCTGGTTTATTACACTAGTTGTTCATACATGTTAATACCGACACCACATAATACGGTAGGGCTGCAGGTGCAGCATGGACGCGCCCAAATATCGGGTCAAGCAGGCTCCCCTGGCTTTGATGAGGGGATGCCCTGACGATTCCTGAAGGTGATCACAGAGCAAACCTTTTTCCTCCCTCGGGGCTAATCAATGGGACATTGTTTCAGTGATCATATGAACCGTTCTATTTCACATGTACTCAATGACTCAATGTATTCAATCTTCAATACAAACATACTTTCAGCAGTTGCTAAAGTTTCTTGTCACATCAGATGGGTTAACGATCCCAAGGTGGTGACAGCCATCCTTTGCAGCAACGATATCTTGATGGACCGCAAAACATCTGGGCGCTCAAAGAGCCATGCGTGCAGAAGGGCAAGGGCGTGACGATCCTTTCAGGCCGGGCTTGCACATCATGCAAAGATACACATGATACACAACTGGTCATAAATGCGGTTGTTTCTCAAACTGAGGGACCTCCCAAGTCATAATATTTCCCACTAAAGAGGACGCTTCTATTTTGATAATTTTCATATGGACATGGTCAATAGACCTTCTCAAGACCATTTTCCCTTACAACGTGGTGTAAAGAATGATCAGTGGCCAGAGCGGTAGTGTGGAGTCGGTGTCAAGAGCTTCTCTGGAGTGTGAGATGACCAACTGTAACGTAAACAAAGAAAGACTCAGGTCCAACACGCAACTTTTGCCAATTTTGGCACGGTACTCAAGAGCGCTACGCCTGAACACCACGGCACGTTGCAAAAATCAATGCCCCTATTATCATGTGCATGACATCCTTGGGCATCAATACCCTGCACCCCCCGAAACGATACCTTCGGTGAGTCCATAACATGCGGCATGCTGTAAAACGATACGCGATGTCCTAACATGTCCTAACCATTGAACGCATTCACCCCAAACAATTAAAATCGAGAACAACTCAAGTGGCTGAGAATTCCACAGAGTATATAAATCCTTGCTGATTGCACTTGGCCGATCCTGCAACATGATTTCTCATGCAAGCTGAGAAGAGATTGGCAGCTTGTCACAAAAAGAATATCGCAAGTTGCCCGGAGCTGCCACTGACTTTGAAAGTCGCAGAACAATCCCTTATGCAAGAAGACATTCTCGTTCTCTTTGTACTGGAATCCCATATGGAGAGAAGACGCTGGCTACACAAAAGGGATTATTTTTGCTCGGGTAACTCTGGATTGTTTGAGCCGGGTGCTGTACTTGATCGTATTTGTCAGCAAATAATAAGAACCTACTGAAACCATCTGAAACCCAGGCTGGTCCCAGTTCGGCTATCGAATTTCATGCTCCTCGTCGACGCTTAGTTGAAGCCTTCTGAGCAAGGTTTGGCACCACTTCTGGAAGACTATGAACAGCATCGTGCGACAGGTCAGGGCCGTGACTGTGTAGCATCATGGCTGGAAAGATGAGATTCATGCGACGTGCCCTTGTTTATTCTTCCTGCTGGTGTCGGGTGAGGTCTGGGAATAAGGAATAACTAATTGGAATATATATATATATATATACAAATAGATAATCAAATAAATTAAAGACCTTTGTTCCACGATCCCTATATATTGGCGTGGTCAGCGCCATCCTGGAACAATATGTATATGTGATGTCCAGAGCAGGAATAATAAGTGGAATAACTCATGTCAGCTGTTTGGATCTTGGTGCACTTTCTCAGCTTCACCACACACACAAAATCTGAAAGCTCAAAACAATTACCGCCGAGGGGAGGGGGCTTCTGAGAATTGCCAGGAGGTTGGGAAGTTGAGTAGGCCAGTGAAGGAGCACTGCTGAGACAAAGATAAGGCTGAGGTGTTCTGAGGAGGGTTTCCAGATGCCAAGACAGTCTAGCTGGGACGGGAAGGTGGGAGGTGTAGACGTGGGTAGGTTGGGGCAGAGAAGGTATGGAGAAGTAATAATGTTTTGGGATTTGATTTGTAAATGTACTTTGGGAATCCTAGAACTTTGAAGACGAACAGGAGAAGAACGCGGCCTTGAGTTTCACAATGTCATTTTCAATGTTCATTTTTCACACCGTGTTGTTCAAAAGGTGGGTTGACATGTCGGACCACCCTGGAATAACTTTTGTTGTTATTCCAGATGGGGACCAAGTTGGTCTATGATCAGTGTACCCCGCATTGAGATTCATTGCGAGAGACTGCGGATAGCTGTTCCCCCATCAGGTTCATAATTTCATAATTGTTTGAATGAGGTTCTTGCTTGGTTGAAAGGAGTTTTCACCCCGGACCATTGAAATGCTTGATGGTTTCGCACGATGCCACTTGCCGACAGCCACGCGGAGATTAGTCCATTGCATTCCGTTGCACAATGTCCTCCATAGTCTTCGAAAACGAGCACATTGGGTTTCTATTATTTTGCAATTTGCGCAGCTGAATTCCGACTTCAACTCAGGCGCAGAAGTACATTGAGCGGCCTTTGTTGGTGAACCAGCCCCATGGTCCTGCCAAATGCGACCTTCGAGTTTGGGTGTTGGTGCTGGACTGGTTGCGCTCATGTCAGAATTATATAAAGAAAAACAAGAGACCCTGGCTAGGCTAGACGGATGTTTTATGGTGAAGCTGCCAAACATACAAACTTTGTGACAGGATTGGAATCCTTTGACGGTCTTCGTGCATCCTGAAGTCTACTTTCGGATTGCAACGCGCCCCTTCCAATTTGATGCTTGACTTTGCCAGTTGAAGTGCATGACTTGAATGCGTCTTGCTTACCCAAAGTCGATTTCTCGTTTTGATCATTGTCATCCGATCACTTTTCGTTGTGATTTTGACCTTGGAGCCTTAGAGGTCAAGCTTGACATCTTCACAACCGACACGTCCATAATTGCTGAGTACTTTGCCCAGACGATTCGTGTCCATGCCCTCATGCCGGCCCTTTGCGCATCGTCCAAGGATTCCATGGAGCCTAATGCACACAAGACCAACTGCAGAGACACGGAAAATCGTGTACCAATGAAGGTGCGGAATCATGTCTTGTGTAGATTCCAAAAAGATAATCATACTGAATTACTGAATTATCGCTTTGAACGTCAACAGAATCTGTTGAGTTTTACCAAGCATAATTTTGGACAAGTCTGTTTGCTAGCTTCCCCGAAGAAGGGCCTTCACGGTTGGGGCTTCTTAATCAGTTCCATCCTGACGTTTGCTCAGGTGCTTTTTGAGTCAGTGGGCCACGGCGCTGCAGAGCGCTGGAAGACCAGGACCTGGCCTAGGCTGATGTTTTTGCAAAGGAATACAGAATACATTTGACTTTGAATGCTTAGAATGGGTTACAGCATCTATTCCAAACGAATGACAACATTGACTACCCGCTGGTGTTCTTGACTACACATACTGGAAAGCTGCATGTATTGGCATGTCATTCTTGGAGGGCTCCCACTTGCTATATTCAGTTGTTCATAACAATTACTGTATCAGACGTTTAAGGTAGTTCTGTTTAAGTTTGCTTGTTCCGGCCTGGGACATGCAACGCTCTTTCAGGCTTCTCGACGCTGTTCGTGCCAGCCTGTTTGCCACCCAATGCACAATGGCGTCCAACCGAAATACATCAGCGAAGGCCTTCGAAACTCGGTCGTGATCAGAACAGGATTGAGATATGGATATTGCCAAATGAATCGCATAAGGCATAAGGATCCACGAGTTTCCCACCTTTCATTCGTGCTTTGTAAATAAAGGCAGGATGTTAAGTGATACTTATATACATTTCTCTCTGAATGTTGACTGGCACACTTCGATCACAGAAAATGCCAAGTCTAGAGAGAGAGAGAGAGAGTCTAGAGTCCAAGTCTCGAGAGCTTTTGTGAAACCTTCCACAGCCTTCTGTATTTCTTTGATTTTCGTTGGTCTTTTGATGTCTTTTGTATGATACTGATGGTACCCAATACCTCAGCACTGAGGAGCTTTTTGGTCTGGATTTTGGACACCCGGCTGCAACTTACCAGTTACCCCAAGGCTTTTGATGTGGTTTTGGAGCCTCCAGCCACCCGGGGATCTACGGTTCTTCTGAAATTGATCCGGCGAATGCTAGTGGAAGTGCAAGAGAACATAAAAACACTCACGTCTGGCTGCATGTCTTGATGGCCAAGGTTTGGATGAAAGTTGGCAGCCATGGTTGCTGGTTTCCTGGCGCAACATCCTCGAAAGGAGTGCAATCGGGGTATAAAGGCGGAAGGTAGCCCATAAGGCAAGGAAGTGCTGGACTCACATTTAATGTTCAAAAGGCTAAAGATAAAATGGGTTTGTATTCTAATAGGGTTTTGACTGGGAGGTCTCCCTATTTTAATACATACCCAAATGTTGCATTCGATTGCCACTTGGCTTCCAACAGGGTGGTCTGTCAGAGGTTGGCAGGATGCGACATCTGAGGAAATCAATACATCTCCCTGCATGCTGGACGACTGCAAGGGTGAGTACGAAGAGGTGGGCAATGCCTGTGAAACGAAACTGACAAAGTATGTCGCAGTTTTCGAGTCATGAGCCTGTGAGACAGATTTCAAGCTTTGACTCTTTACCGTTGCACAGTATACATGTTTCTAATCCTGTAGAACCTTATTGCTCTTGACTGTCCCTATGACTCCTGCTTGGCTCCTTGAGAGGAGATCAAGGCATGGGCCTGGGAAGCTACTGAGTCGCTCTTGAAGCTGGTACTGGCCTTTTGGGTCGCAAAAGATGTAGAAAGAGCAGCCCGCAGGCTTGGCAAATGATCCATAGTGATCCATAGTGAAGATTGTTTTTTTTTTTTTTTTTTTTTCGCTCGAAGAAAGACGATGAGGATACTTAGCAGCGGCCCATCCAAGGCATTTCACGATGGCTCATGGAAGTTGCCCAGCTATGTGGAATTGCTGCAGAAGAGCGCAGAAGAGCGCAGCGGCCAAGGACTTCGGATGCGTTTTGAATTTTCATGATCTGCCGTGAGAGAGACTCATTTGAAGACTCATGGGAAGAGACAGAATAGAAATCAACGCCTTCAGTGGCTGGGGAGTCTTCCTATTCCGACACACACACACACATCCATTCATTTACTGTATTTGGCCATATGTATTTTTTGTTTGACTCTTGACAAAGAAGAACGGTGGTCTGGAACGTACAAGCAGTCAATCTTGACCTGGTCTGATCTGAGCTTTGGCAAAGCTTCTGAACAAATTGTGCCGCCATAAGTTAGAGAACCACTAAGCTCTTATAAGCTCCTTGTTTGGGGAGACCGTTCATTTGCCAGCTGTGGTGAGGAGGTGTGGAAAGACTTTTTGAAGAGGAGGCCGAGCCTCCCTTGTTCAAGTTTGGGCACTTCAGGTCAATGGAACAGGCTTGGATTATTATCCCCAAAGTCATTCCAGAGCCCACGTGAATGATAGCCAACACAGCTACCCACTCACTCCTCCCTTGCATGTATTCTCTCTCTCTCTCTCTCAGACGACCTGGTTTTGCCATGCCTTCAGCCATTTCAATCGGGTATCCATGACCTTGGCAGGCAGACTTGTTTGGCCTTTGACAGTTTCAACATCCAAGACTTTCATCAATCGGGTGTGGTTTGGCCGCTGACAAGTCCCTATCAAGGTGGGCAGAGCAGAGCACTCTCCCTGTTTGGGACGCATGGTGAGATCCGTATCTCCGTGCTTGGCATCGGGCCTGAGTGCCGTGGCAGCCAACAAACAGCCCTCATGCTAAGTGTTTGCCCAGTGGTTTACGAGGCTTCAAAGAAAGAATACGACACGTTCAGTCCTGCTTTTCACATCATGTTCTGGATCGTGGTTCAGTGTGTCAAACTTGTGGCCTTTTGCATTTCGTAACAGTTGTATCTTGCACCATGAGGCCTGGAGGGTCCATGCGGCCGTTGGTGCTTGATACTACGGGAAAAGGCGGGGCTTCGCATTCAGAAGCAATAACAATGCAACAGTTTTGCATTGCATACATTGCAAGAACCCAATCAGAGCTCAGTCTGGCAGAATCCAATTCGCACTACACAAGCTTCAAAAAGGGGATTTAAGGTTTGGTTTATGAGTTTAGTACCCAGAGAACAGGACACTCAGGAAAAGCAAGATTGGAATGCGTGACAAAGGGCAGTTTTGCCGCTGGAGAGGTGTTAGATGAGATGTCCCTGCGACAAGCGCACGAGGCCTTGCAGAGGCAGGACGATTGTTGCAAGGAATCGAGGAAAGCAAATCACACCTATCTGCGTTTCATGAAGGGCAATCTGAACAATTTTTCCAGTTTTTCAAGACCTCAGCTGCTTTGGAATCGGCTTCCAGGCGCATTTTTCAGGGTGTCTCAGCAAGGGAGACCAGCGTCAGCAAGTTGCCGGGGTCTCAGTTGTCCAGCTTTAGCGAAGGGGAACAGCCTATTGCTGGGAGAGATACTCAAGAAAAGCATATTGAACCAGATTCCATCAATGTTTTTCTCCTTCCAAACAGTTGCATACTTGATACAACATGAATACTGCTCTTCGAACACTTGAAACACATTTGACCTCTATAGAGGTTGAGCCAGCATAGACTCCCGCGTTTGAATTTCCAAAGTGGTGCTTTTCTGAAGCATCAGGTTGCGAGAGTGGCTGTTACCCTCTGAAGAGGAGCCAATTTCGCAGGCCTGACGGTGCTCAGGAGGGTATGAAACTAACCCAGCTTTGCAATCCAACAGCAGGTAGCAACTCAATTGACTGGAACTTTTCAATCACTCCAACCATGCTTCGCACATGTACGCCGAATCCATTCGTGAAGTGCAAAGGCAGCTGGCAGGGGAGCAAAAACGGAAGCAGGAACTGGGGTCCAGGAGCTGGGGAGCAGGCAAGAGGAAAGCGCAGCAGAACTACAAGCTAGGTATGTCATGTACAAGCACCTGCCGCACGGTTGATCTTACCAAGACTACCGCGTAGAAAGAATGAATTGTAACATGAAGAGAAAGCACACCACAAGTGCATTTGCTGGGTATCTGCAACTGCCTGTGGCCTTGCTGCGCATGCAACATGTTTTGCGCTGCATAGAAGCACTTCTTCGTAGCTGGCACTAACAGTGGAAAAGCTGTTGCGAAAATGCCCTGCTAAGTATGTGGCCTCCTTGCGCAAAGAAGATGTTTTGTGCTGAATAGAAAGAATGCTTCGCAACGGAGACACCCCACGTGCAACACCCGGCTAAGTACATGCGCATGCCTTTAGCTGCTACGCATAGAGCAGGTCTATGGTGTGTACAGATGTTGCCTGTGCAGAAAGGTCCTGCTAGCTACACGCAACTGCCTGCGGCATAGCGACTCACAGAACACATAGCTTTTGGTGCGTAAAAAGCCTTCGCAGCGGAGGAAGGAACCACGCCACAAATACAAAACTGTTGCCGGCGCAGAAACGTCTTGCAACTGCCTGTGGCCTTACTGCGCATACAATATGTTTTTCGCTGCGTAGAAAGACTGCTTCGTAGCGGCGACAAATGGCACACTACAAGTGCAAAGACTGTTGCCGGTGAAGCAACGTCCTGCAAGGGACACGCTACTGCCTGTGGCATTGATGCGCAACGAACACATTGTAGTCTTATGGTGTGTGGTTTCAAGGTGCGACATGGAGGTCTGCCACCAAAATCATAGTCTTACGATATCTCCAATATGTCACGTTGTTCGCCCGGCCTCTCCGAACGCAGCACGCAAGGATGAAATTCTGTTTTTTCACCGCTCCCACCCCAGACACCACCCAAGGTTCTAGACAGTGCCTAGATTTCCACGACGGAATGCAGGTTTTGGAGCGCTGTAACTGCGCACCACTGCGCTCTGCTGTTGGGAAATATGTTAAACATTGTAAAAAACCATTGATCGCACTGGAGCCGCTCAGGAACCTCCAAGTGCCTCACGGGCCTTTGCCGTTTGACTGGTGATTCTTTTCAAGACAAGAATTGTGCATGAGTCTTGGGAAGCTGGCAACCAAGTCTTTTGGGAGTATGACGGGTTTTGTACATGCTGCCAAAAATTCAAGGAGATGCATGGGGCATACATCAGCGTGTTTGCTCATCTTACTTCAAACGCTGTGCCAGGCAGCAAGGCGCATGTCAAAGACATGCCCCAAAATGCAACTGGTTTGCAATTAAACTAGAACAGAAAGAGTTTGGATTCTTCCTTCTTGTCATTAACTGACAGTTTTCCCAAAAACCGACGCTGTAAGGTCCCTCAAACGGGCAACCAGCCAACCTGCAGCTTTACGCACACAGACAGAAGGCCCCGGTCTGGTGGTGGTCTTTCAGGGCGTTGGACAAAAGAGGATAATTTTCTGATTTCGATCGGCCTGGACAATGCAATCCCCTCGATCAATTTGGGTTCTTTTGCATCCTCACAAGCCATGTTCCAGGAAATTCGAAATTAATCTTTCGTGCTATACCCTTCAAATCTGGAACACTACAACTTTAGTAAAACATAGAAACACACATATTTAAACAAAATATTACAATACATCAAATTATACTTAAAGATAATATATTAGGAAAATTTGGAATAATATATATAATAATATGAAATAGGTTATTTATCACATATTTATAATATATATGGATTATATAATAAATCTAAAAATATATATATAAATAGATTAATGAATTAATAATTGATTGTAATATGATTAAAATTGTAGATAGGATATATATTAATTTTGTTTTACATATAGATAAATATATAGATAATATATATATATATATTTGAATTATATTTTAATAATATATTTAATTAATTAAATTTATTTAGATAATATTAATTTTTGAAATATATTTATATAATATTTTTGGAAATATATTTTATCATTACGAAAATGAATTTAGAAAGGAATTTAACGGAAATTATTTAGGAAATATAATGAGGTTTAAAATTGAAAATTTTAATGAATTGATTAATATTTTTAGTTAAAGGAAATAATGAATTGTATTTTTCTTTATTTTTTATTGATTTATTTAGTTATTTATTTCTTTCGTAAAGGATTTTGTAATTATAGATTTAAATATTAAAGGGGAAAATTTTTTGTGGAAAATGAATGGAAGGAGGCTATTCTATTGTTGCCCTTATTTTTTCGTATTTCTTTGCTCCTTTTATATTCTTCGCTTTCGTCTCCGTTATGTTTAAACTATATTTTATTTTAAATTTTAATATATATGGTCGATTACATTATTTTCGGAAAGATTTATATATAATATTTTTTTTTGATATATTGTTTTTTAATGAATTACAATAAAAATTATAATATATATATATTTAAAAAATATATTTTTTTAAATATAAAAAATTATATAATATAACAATATATTTTTGAATAATATTTGTATGGATTATTAAAAAAATATTATATATAATATATCGACATATAAAGGAAGATAATGTAAACGATGAAAGATATAATAATTGAAAAATATATATATATATATTATTTATTTAGTAATGGTGATCGATATTAATCGCACAAAAAATATTATTAAGCTTGCATACGAAAATATATTAAGATTTTAATTCGATAATTTATAATATATAAAGGTCGTTTGCATCCATTGAATAAATATATTAGAAGATATTTCTTTATTTTTATAGAAAATAATATCTTAAACTATATTATATATTCGCATAATAATCTTCGATAAATCTTTCGTAAAAAAAACTAACAAAAAAAATATTATTTTCGCAAATATATTTAACACAATCTAAAAAATTATTTAATATAAAATTCTTTATATATAATTTTCGATAAATTATTATATCCGAAATATAACGAAAAATATGCAATTAAAATATAAATAAAATAGCAGAAAGGAGCGCTCTGAGCGGCGCGTTTTTGCATTGTTTCATTTTGTTTATATTTTGTTTCTATATTTGTATTGGGTTTCTATTGATTTTTGTGCCATTGAAAGAATACTATTCTTCCTCACCCCCCCCCCCCCCAAAGGCAATTTCCAAAATTCAAATTTTCTAAAATTCAATTTATTTATTTTTTTTTTACAAAGAAATCAAAAAAACCAATTGTGCTAGGACTTTGCCTCACCCCCTCTTCCCCCCATGGTCTGTGCAGATATTTCTTTTTTTGTTTCTTTGATTTTTTTTTGAAATTTGAAATTTTGGAAAATTGGAATTTTGATTTCCTGGGATATTTTAAAATTTTCAATTTCCTTGGCAATAGACAATATAATCTCTAAAATCAAATAAAAAAAACCCTCAGTGATTTGTTCATTAGGGTCTAATAATGCTCCTTCTGTTCCTTTAATTCGAAAATTGGTAATACCTGACATTTTAGAATTATAACCAATAAAATTGACATCTGCAATTTTTTCAAATGACATACCAATAATGAATTTATTCTCTCTGTATTGACGATACGAAAAACTTAAATTGTCATGTATTGTATAACTCTTCTTAAATAGTAAAAGGTTTATGATAATGATTGCGCTTCAAATTCTATATATTTCTAGGAATTGCTTAATTGAATTTGCCAACTTAAATTACGGATGGCATCTTAAAAACCTTTGTACCTTGTAAGTCATTTGTATCAGCATTACCAATATCATTAATTCTTCCATAGATTATAGGATTGTAAAAGTAATTCCATCTCTTATATACATAATTGTCAGATAAATATCGCTTCAAATATTCACCATTCCTTGGAATTCTAAATAAGGTAATGAATGCTCCAATCAATTTAGAAAATGATTTTACAATATTCATATTAATTTCATCATCACAACATTGAATTTGGGGGATTGTGTAATAACAATTTATAATGTTTCTTATCTTTGCCATTCCGCCCCCTTCTATGTCCTGCCATTCTAACACTCAATGGCTAACAAGTAGCACCAATATAGACATCGTCATTTTGTCATTTAATATTCTGTAAATTTTTGCCTTGGAATAATCCACCATAACATTACATATTTTAATTAAATTTAAATGTTATTTTTTAAATAAATAATTGGGGTTAAATCCATTGCTTATATTGGTTCCGGGACTAATGTTCCAAAGGCCGTTCCCTTCAAAATTAATATAGCTGTGGCTCATTAATGGAATAAATTCCTCATCTCAGAAGTTACAGCGTAACCATCCAACATTAAAATATCGGATGGATTGCGATAGTCAGATCTTTTGGGATTTTTGTTTCTTTCCTTTTTATTTTTATTGTAGGGGTAGCATAGGTTATTATAGCAAATATATTAGGTTGTTCTTAATTAATCTTATTACAGCACTTACAAGGCTATGCCCAACCAAACGGATTATTTCTGGTAATTTTTCCAATTCTTCTATAATATATTTGTATTTCTCACTATGATGAATATTTCTAATAAATATTAATAATAAATCATCCATAATATTTCTAATGGGTACTAATAACAAATCATCCATAATATCCCTTATTAAAGATCTATCCCAATCACCTATGTCACTTATATATAAATTCTTATTTTGTAAAAAACACTTGGTGAATAGGAATTCCATAAGCCCCTGCGGTCTTCTATCTTCTCCTTGTTTGTTATATGTTTCTCTTCAATATATAGTGTTTTATGTTGTTTAAAATAATCATTTAAATTTCTTATAAAATAATTCATCCTATCATTCCAATTTTGATTCTTTTTTATAATCATTAGAGATTTCTTAACCGATCTTACTAAATAACATCTAGGCACTTCCAAGCAAATCCTCCCAAACAATATCAAATACATCAATCATTCTTAAGCAAATTTAGAAAAACATGTTCATTTTCATCGAAAAATATGCCGCTCACAACGTTCCCCTCTCTAAAATAAATCAATATCATAATATATAATATTAAATATATATATAGAATTTATAAAATATATTTCTATAAATATCGACAATCAACTAAAATTAACTAATAAATATATTATATATAAATCATCTAAATAAAAAATATATTATAAAATAAATAGATTAATACAATTTCAATTTAATATTTATATATATATATAATCAAATATATTCGTATAATATAAAATATTAATAAACCAAATTATAAAAAAATCTTAATATATTTTCAAAACAATATATAATATATTTTATATAAATCAATATATTAATATATTTATATACAATTAATGTATACATCATATATCTAAATTTATATAATCAATATCATTTTATTTTTTTTATATATCAAATAAAATAAATATAGATTATAAAAAGATCGAAACATACATTAATATAAAATATATCAACCAAAATGAATATAATAATCTATATCAAAAAATAAATCTAAAATATAAATACACTATATCTAAGTATATTTATTCTTTAATTTGATGCACAAAGCATCGATATTCCAAACGGGGGGAGCGCTCAGATCTTCAGTTTTTAATTTAAACAATAGGAAAAATGAAGAAAAATAGGAATTGAAAATAGTAAAAAAATAGGACGATTTTCACCCCCCCCCAAAATAGGAAAAATTTTCACTCAGCACTCTCTGTTCTTTTTGAGCGCGAGCAGCTGGGGAAG